ATGGTAGGAGCAGGTTAGGCCGCAACCACACTACGTAAAAATCACAGTACAAATTTTCATGCATATCTCGGTACAAGTCGGTACGCAACCACACTACACTTTTCGGTCTGCATAGATGACGTTTTCACGCGACCAGCACGTGACGTTCTCGTACCAAAGCGTGTGCCATGTGCTGGAAAAGACCGGGAAATTCAAAAACAATGCTGATGCTGATGCTGTGTACGACGACCAGGTACAAAAACAAAGTTGTACACAGGAGATGGAGCGCGAAAACGACGAAAACGACAAACGTGGCTTTCTACAGGGGTGCGCCAGTTGCTGAAAACCTACAAAGCGCATTTTGCATTTCGCACGCGTCGGCATGACGATTTCTACTGTAATGCCGTTTGTACGTGATTTTGTACCTAGTGTGGTTGCAGCCTAAAGTAAGAGTAGGACCGAGCAGTCGGGCACTGCCCGCATGCCCATCACTCATCAGTGCCCATAACCAGATAACTACAGTCATGTACTTGGAAATGTTCGTACCCCCGAGTCATGTACATTTTGATGGGGAAGGGCCAGAGATCTGGGATGTGACGTCACCATTTCAACAAAAAATGGCCAGAGAGTACACTCGAACGTCTCTTATCCGGGCGCCTTGGGACTGCGCACTGCCCGTATCTCAAATTTGCCCGTATCTCCGAACAGCTCATCTACCATGTACGGGTAATTTTAGCGACGTAAAAACCCACATACACACACTAGGGAATTTAGCGATCGACTCATTTTCGCTAAAGTTTCAAGTCGCTAATCCGTTGAGACATTAGTAGTGCACTGGTGATCCGTGAGTAAAATCGCTGCAAATCGCTAAAATAAAACGTCGCTAACCGGTTGACAATGGGAAAACGCTAAAATTAATAGTCGCTAAAATTACCCGTTCTACAGTATCACACCAGTTTTTGAAGACGTGCACTTGTTCAGAATAAAAAAATACTCAATTGTTGAATATGTGTTGAATACACAGGTTGGAAGCAGGGAGTCGTCAAATATTTGACGACCCCCTGGTTGGAAGCTCCGTCGAAAAAAGAAAAAAACGTTCAAAACCCCAAAATTCGAAGCATTTTTGCCATATGAACTCAAGCTGAAGGTGCCCGGTAGAGAGACGTGCCCGTATCTGAGGCGTCCGGATAAGAGACGTTTGAGTGTACTTCAAAGCACAATGTAGTAATATTTCCACTAAAACTCACTCACAGAGTGCCCGGTAGACCGAGGTGCCCGTAACTTACTCAGTGGAGGTCCGGATAAGAGAGATATGAGTATACAAGTATACCATGTATACCTGTACTAATAGATAGCCGTGTGTCCGCAATATACATGTACTGGTTCTAGTAGCAAGCCTTAAGTCCATAACCCCAAGAGTATGCAACTCTGCACATGAGGTCAGGCGCGGCACGCTGTTCGCATTACCTAGCCACGTACTGGGGAATCAGCTACAGCATTGCACCATTATTGATCTGCTACGGTTTCCAGCTTCAAAGTACGTTTTTTCTAGATTTCGAATAATTTTGTACGTGATATGTCGCGCACAAGCATTGCCGTTGAACCGCCCATACTACGCGTGAAGTCGTTGCCCCTCAACCGTAGGAAACTCAAATCCAGTCAGCTTGATCGTTATTTCACTACATAATGAAGGCAGCACGCACCCCTATCTTTGGAGATCAGAACTGCACACTCTTGGAGTTATGGCCTACTATTAGATCACTGTACTACTCTCAATCAGCAAGGCCACAGCAACCATCTCGCTGGACACGCTATAGTTCAGTACGGTATAATCAAGACCGCACAAGCTACGCCACTGCCCTTCGCTAGATTTTGTTGTGTCTAACACAATTATCCTAATGCATGTACCACCACACAACTACATGTACTGTACAACATAGGGACTACCAGCACATTCTGTGGAACTGAGGGCATCACGGAGCTAAAGCAATAGCATTAAAACATGGCAAACAAATTTCAGGTAACAGTTACTTCGAAGTACTGAAAAAGGAAGTCCTATTCTTTCAAAAATATATTGGAAGAACTTCTTCGTACTAAGCTAGAACTGAGGTGTCTTAGAAATCTGTGAAGCTACAACAAACTAGAACTTATAATTGTGTGAAACTCCGTGCAACTACGAGTAACTGGAACACTATTTCCCTAAATCATCACGAGTATGTTGGGTGCGAAAACAACTATTTTAGTAGACAATGATGTTTGTACATATGTAAGAGGTCAGAGACTTGAGTTATTGTTTTCCCTGGCAGAGTGCATGAGGCAGTGAAGTACAACTGTTGCCAATGCAATGCCAGGCACGGCATAAAATATCTTGGTCTTGACGATTGTGGAAAGGAGAATGCATGTTGAACTAGTCGTAGTACTAGCCTATTGCATGACAAATGACAATGGGACAAACAACCCATCCTAGTGTTGTGAACACAGGCACTGGACAGCATACCCTCGTGTAACATGCACACATGCATGCACCACATATGCACACAGGCATGCACAGACGTACACGAATGACACGAACACACGCACATACACAACCAGCCTCGCTCTCATTTGGTGTTTTCCTCTCTTCCTCTACTTCTCCGCGTTCATCTGACACATCTTCTCAGTGCGCAGCTGCAGCACAGCCTCTCCAAGCCGTTCGTATTCCCAGAACTCGTTGTAGACATTGGCTGAGATGCGGCAGTACGGCACACCCTTGATTCCAAACGTGCACACCTGTGCGCAGTTGACAAGAAAGGAGAGGAAGGACATACGGTATAGAGTGAAGATGAGCATATGCAAAGTTCAGTGCAGTTGGACCAGGTCTCCAAGTAACAGGCATTCAAGTAGCTGGACCAAACTTAAGAGATGACACGGGGTCAGTTTTACTACAATATCCACAACTCACTACAAGAGACTGATCAGGGCCGGTGCTTTTAGTGTGAGCGTGATGTTCTTTCTGTACATGTACCCCAGGCGCGTATTCCGCATTGGGCATGGGGGGGGGGGGGCATGTGCACCCCCCCCCCCCCTAAAATTTTTGACCTAGGTTCAGCATGCACATAATGACCATGATGCCATGCACCAGCCATCCTACATAACACGTAGATCTACGTATGGATAGTACCTGATTGCACAGCTAGCTAGCCAACTGTCGCCGTGCTATTACACAGGCCATGGAACAAGTCCAAAGCAGCTTGGCTAGCAGCACACAAGAACAGTATTGCAATGTCCTGAAGTATGTCACTATGTGTACTCATAGAGCTCTCACCATGATATTGAAGCGGTCATAGATTTCCATCATGAGGTCCTCTGCGCTTTCAATGAGGCCTTCGAGAGGCAGCCTGATAAGTTTCATGTTGGGCGCTTCCAGGTGATGGGGAATGGGCAAGCGCTCCGTGCTCCACACTCTAGCCAGCATGTCAGCTGCAGACGATGCTAGCTCAGAGTTGTGTTTGACCATGGCTTGCTGCAGAGCAGAAACATGCATTACACATACACACGCACACACACACACCTGACCTGACCTTTGACGCCCATCGCCGGAGGCGATGATAGCAATGCTACGGCAGAAGCCATAGCAACTTGTGCTGGGATTACACCATTCAACAGCTTGCAAGGCTGAAGAATTGACCGTCACTATTCAGCCTGGTCTACACCATACAGCTATTTGGAGTGACATTTTCTGGCCAGTGAATCCTTATTTTTGGTCTTTTCATTTTTTTTTTTTTCCCCGCACACACATCACACCACATACTCCAGCATGCACTGGCTGTTGGTAACCACCCAGGAGAATGAAAGAAAAGTCAGGAAGAGTCTGAGAAAGAGAAGAAAGATGTGTGTGACCATAATCGTCGGGAATCGAACCCGCAATCTATCGATTGGAAATCGCTGCACATACCACTGCACCATATGGGACACACACACACACACACACACACACACACACACACACACACACACACACACACACACTTTGAATTCTAGTACATGTAGTGGCTGTGGATAGCAGTGCATACCTGATGAGGGCAATTTGCCAAAACGTTGTAATAATAACTGAAGTAAGGAATTCGGAAAGAATAGGTAAACAACATACCTGTGAAAACACAACCTTTAATGCTACTAACACAACCTGTGACTATCATGAGATCAACCCCAACACATTTCTTGCGGTTTACTTTCGTAGAGTTTGCGACTTTGTGTTCCTCAACACAACTTGCAGCTTTCTTCAACAATATCCTCAACCTTGGTTCTGTCCTAGATCGTATATACATGCATTCATTGTTTCGTCTCATCATCATGGAGCAGCTTGTGCGAAGGCTAGCCAAGCTTGCTTGGCGATGCCAACGCGGAAAAAGCCTATAATAATAATAATAATAATAAGAAGAAGAAGAAGAAAGGGTTTGCTCCCCACACTGGAGCTCGTGCTATTCCGCCGACTTTACTTGACACTTGATAATAATAATAATAATAATAATAATAATTCAAAGGAACAGTAGGGGAAGTGAACTGCCTGAAAAGAGAAAAAACCGCCAGACGCACCAGGACTCGAACCCGGGACCTTTTTATTTTTATTTTTTTATTGAAAAACCACAAACCTTCAGACATGTGAATGTGCACATGATATACAGTGTACATACGTATGTATCGAGAAGGCAGCACGGAAACGGCAGTGGTGGTGAGGCCTGGGCAGCTCGTCCGACCGTGGGTCTCGGAGTCAACACTGGGCAGACGCACCGGGGGGGGGGGGGGGGGGGGGGTGGGGGGGGGTGGTAGCTTAGGAGATAAGGGATGAAGCCAGCATGATCATAGTATGTAATGCATATGCAGAAGTAATAATGATGTTAATCTTAAAAACAATAGTGCGGTCGCCCTGCGCAGAGGAACGGCATCATGGACATGATCTACGTGTATAACAAAATAATAATAATATTATAAGTGAGCTAGGGCACATCATACACACACATATGCGCATGTACACATAGGAGATCAACCTGATAGGGCGTTCGCCGGCGTTGGGTAATCTTGAAATATAGATATTAATATTATTGAAGAGATTATTATCATACGCTCACATAAACACCACATACCAACCATGTGCACCCACCCACACACACCCACACACACACACGCGCGCGCGCGCACACACACACACACGCGCGCACACACACACACACACACACACATGCTCGCACGCACACACACACACACATACACACCACACACACGCACACACACACACACACACACACACACACACGCACACACGCACACACATACACACACCACACACACACACACACACACACACACACACACACACACACACGTACACACAGACACACACGTGCACATTCACGCAGACGCGTAATCATACATAATATTTGTGCACAGACTCACTCTCTCACAGTAACGTCCAGAAAACCACCACGCCGAGTCCCTACAGCCGGTCGGTCGCCCAGTCCCAGTGGCTCGAGCGCAGGAATCGGTGGACGCTGCACTTGAAGGACTGCAACCTCTTCTGGTCGGGCTGATCCAGGAGGTGTTGGCGAGGCAACTGGTTCCAGGTGTCCAGCACTCCTTCAGGGAACGACCGGCGGACGTTGTTGCGAGAATTGGCTGGGATATCAGACTGCAGCTGGTAGCGGTGGCCGGCCGCCACCCGCGCCTGCTGCCTGGTGTTGGCAGGATGTTGGTCGTGGTCTGGTACTGCTTGGGAGGGGGGCAGCATTCGGGTTAGCATCTGTGGGCCTGTCAGGTAGTGGATTTTGTAGAGATAGCAGAGAGCAGCCACTTTGCGCCGGAGTTCGAGGCTTGGCAGATATGCGCCTTCGCCGATCAGATGCAGGGCTCTCCGCTGTACAGCATCGAGTTGGGCCAGCACCGTCTGAGAAGCACCCATCCAGACTAGCATGCCGTGCTCTAAGACTGGGCGAACAAAGCCGTTGTAGACCGTGAGACGGCAGCCAGGGTCAAGCACTGCTGAGGCCTTCTTCAGGAAGCCCAGTCGCTGTGTGGTGCGCAGGGCTGACTGTCGAATCTGCTGGCAGAATGTCAGTTGACTGTCGAAGGCTATCCCAAGTAGCTTCAGGCACTGAGTTTCAGGAACCATTTCACCTTGGAATGTGACCGGAGGGCAGTCCCAGGGCCGACGGTGGTGGCTGACGTGGAGTAGGTATGACTTGGCGGGCTCGAATGTCACTCGTCAGGTCGCACCCCAGGCAGCAAGGGCATTGACGGCGGTCTGGAGATCATCACAGTCAGCTGCGAGGTTGCCGAGATACCGGATACACCTGTAGAGCGTTGTGTCGTCTGCGTACGTGGCAAGGCTGGTCGATTGGGGAAGGTGGTCCTCAGCGTCATTAATGTAGATCAAGAAGAGAGTGGGCCCCAGGATGCTTCCTTGAGGCACACCTGCTCGGATGGCGTGTGTGGCTGATGTTTGTCCACCAACTACGGCCCGGATCTGGCGGCTCTCTAGGTAGTTTTTCAACCATGAGAGCAGGTGGCCAGTCAGCCCAAGGCATCTGGCCTTGTGAACTACACCGCGGTGCGACACTTTGTCAAATGCGCCGGCCACATCGACAGCAAGGACTCGGGCCACACCCCCGGCATTGGACGTCCGACTCCACTCATGCTAAAGTGAGAGGAGAAGATCAGTCGTGCCCAGGCCGCGTCGGAACCCGAATTGCCGTCCGGAGAGGACCTGATTGCTTTCCAGGAAGTTAGTGATGCTGCGATTGATGATGGCCTCCATCACCTTAGAGAGTATAGAGAGGAGGGAAATCGGACGGTAGTTCTTCGGGGTAGACTTGGAGCCTTTCTTGAAAATAGGGACAACGTTCGCGATCTTCCAGGATGCAGGTTGCACCCCGTCCCGGAAGCACTGGGTGAATAGCTTTGCCAGAGGGCTGGCGAGTGACTGCGCTGACTTCCTGAGCACTTGCGCCGGAATGCCGTCAGGGCCAGTTGCTTTTGAAGCGTCCAGGTTCTTGAGAGCTCGCTGGACTGTGGCAGGGCGGAAGTGTACGGTCTTCAGCCTATTGCCTGTGCGTTGGCGAATAGGGGGCAGAGGTGTGTCTGGCAGGTCATTGGCACCAAGGCTACATTTCTCCGCGGAGTAGTGACCGAGGCAGTTTGCTTTCTCGATGTTCGTGGCATGCTCTTTGCCAGCAGGGTCGACAAGAATCGGGATGGAGCTATTTCGGGAGGTTCCGATGGACTGCTTGATGGTTGACCACCATTGTTTATCTCGAAGGCTGCCGGTCTGGAGTCGTGCACGGACTATTGCTAGATGGTGATTCTGGGCATCACGTAGGCAATCAGAAGACCGGTGGACAGCGAGAGTATAGTTAGCTTGACATTGGGGCGAGTCTGGTCGTCTCTTGAGGGACTTCCAGGCACTCTGTTTCGCCTTCACGGCCTTGCTGCAAGCTGGCGTCCACCAAGCGGGATCAGAGGGCCGAGTACAGAGAAGTTGGGATGGGATAAACTGGTTCATTCCATCTATGATGGCAGAGGTAATATTGGTGCAGCTGCTGTTTGCATCCTCAGACATCAGGGCATCCTAGTCCACACTCCTAAGGTGGTGGTTTAGTCTGTCCCAGTCAGCGCGGCCATATTGCCAGACTGTTCTGGCCGTCTTGGGCTCTCGACATAGTTCTGTCTTGAATTCTGCCAAGATTGTGGCGTGGTCAGATCTACCAATTGGGGGGCCGAGCCGGACCGTCGGGTTGCCCAGGTCACTCATGATGAGGTCGAGGAGGGCATTTCCACGAGTAGGCTCCGTCACATGCTGCTGGAGGTGATGTAGTGCGCAGAGGTCCTCCAGTTTCTCCCCAGCTGGAGTTGTCCTACTGCTGCCCAGCCAGGCAGTGTTGTGCGCATTGAAATCGCCAGCGATGATGAGGTGCTGTGCATCCACCCGGGCAACGTCAATGGTTTTTTTATTTTTTTATTTTTTTTATTGGGAACACAGCCCTACAAAGAGACATGTGGAGACAAACACAAGACAGGACACAGGGGATGTAGGGACGACGTGCCGATGTACAGGGAGCAACTCGACCGACCAGGGGTCTCGGCGTTAGCGTTGCAACCTGGCATCGAAAAAAAGGGGGGGGTTGCATGGTCAGGTAGCAAAAATAATAATTTGGTGCGAGAAAGGGGCGCTAGTATTGCACCAAATAATATAAATACGTGTAATGACTAAACCAGAAGGGAAAATGAAGAGAGAGAACAATAATCATAACAAGCAAGTAGTAGTAGAGAGGTAAATACTAAATGGGTCTCAAATCTCAATATTATTATTATTATTATTATTATGAAATGACCCAAAGGCAATGTGCCTATCGAGGGGTTCATTTGATTGAAAGAACAGTAGATGTAGATGTATGTACAAAGAGAAGTAGGGATTGATGAGGAGAGAAATGGGGAAAATCAACTGCAAGGTGGCGGAATTCCGTTGATTGC